AGTGTGTGACCAACACAAGTGCTTTAAATATTGGAATTTTCACATGAAATTCTGTCTGGGTTTTTGGCTTCTTTTGAAAAGTTGGCTGACGTAGCTTCCCCAGGCCCTCCCTGTGGCGCTGGCAGCCTTGCCCCAGGCAGGATGAGCACACCACAGGTAGCAGTCAGGAGCCTCAACGCTGAACTGCCCCTTGCATTTGAGTCCTTGGGCAGGTCCGCCACCCTCTGTCCCTGGCTCCTGTGTGGGGCTGGAGCAAGGGTGGAATGAGTGAGGTCCCACTGTGTGCTCTGTGGTTAGTTCTCCTTGGCGGCTGTAGATCGGAGTCTGTGACCCAGAGCCTGGGAGAGGCCCTGAGATGCATTTTCAGGGACCTCCATTTGCCCCAAGGGTACCACCAGGCATACCTAGGCACTGTAGACCATAGAGGAGACTCCTCCGACCCTACCCCTTGGCCATGAGGTGGGGCCAGAGCCTTTGGTGAAGGAAAATGCCAGGCAGCCCATGATGGGGAAAGGGGAAGGGGTGTCCACCCTGGGAATGTTTTGCGCTGAGCGGCCACCAAGGCCCGTTTGTGGGAAGGCAGCGCCCCCTGCTGGCATCATAAGAGAAAGGGACATGTGCCCCAGGGAGCCTGAGGTCCTTCCTCAGTGCTGTTGCCCTAGGCAGCAATTTTCTTTTTGTTTGTTTATTTGTTTTTAGTTGTTGTTCTAATCCTCACCCAGGGGTATGTTTTTATTGATTTTAGAGAGAGGGGAAGGGGGCGGGGAGAGAGAGAGAGAGAGAAACATCAATTAGTTGCCTCCTGTACACACCATGCAATCTGGGCATGTGTATGGGACGACGCTCAACCAACTGAGCCACACCGGCCAGGGCAAGGCAGCAATTTTCAACCTTTTTCATCTCATGGCACACATAAACATTACTAAAATTCTGTGGCACACCAAAAAAATACATATTTTTGCCAATCTGACAAAAAAAATAGGTATAATTTTGGTTCATTCACACCTGACTACTATTGTGTTGGCTGTTATCATTTTTTTAAAATTGACAGTCTAAGAAAAAAAGTACTGTTATTAGTCATAGTTGTATAGTTTGTAGATTAAAAATATTTTATAATGAGAAAAAAAAGAAAAAGGCCAGTGTCCCTGACTAAAAATTCTTGTGGCACACTGGTTGAAAATTGCTGCCTTAGGCTAGAGAATTGGGGGCGGGGGGGGCGTGTGTCTACCAGGCCCCTCCCCCAGGACGACCACTGTTAGGGACTGAAGCCATGTGTGTCCCCCTCACCAGCCTTTCAGTCTGTGGGACCTTGGCTCGGGTGTACAGATGGGAATTTTTGCTTTTAAGTCTAAAGAGACAGAAAGAAAACTCAGCAAGAAGCTAGGCCACCAACCGCCCCCCCCTCCCCAAACCCCTCCGGGGACAAAAGCTCTAGCCTGGCATCCTCTCCACCCTCCAGGACCCACACAAAAACTTAAACAATTGGAAACATGGCCAGATCCCAGGTCTGTGCTTGTGCCAGCGCCAGCCACGGGGGTCCTACCCGCTGGGCACGATGCCCACGGGAAGGCCAGCTGGACTGTAGCACTAGGGGGCAAGGTCTCTGGGGGGGGGGGCAGGATTCCCATAGGAGGGACCGACAGAATGGGATGGAGCTCTGTGTGGTGTTGGTATCCTTGGCTCCGCTGGAGCTGGACCCTCCAGGGGCCCCGGCCAGCACCTGCAGTCACAGGGCCAGGCGGAAGTGAGAAGGGCCCTGCCCCAGCTGTTCTCAATATCGCCTCTTTTTTGTCCTGCTTCAGTCCTGGTTCCTCTGATAAGATCGACAAAAGAAATGACAAAATGAAAAGAAGAGGTTCCTCAAACAGGGGGAGAAGAAATTTTGAGACGTGGAAAAAAAATCCCCCAGCCCAGCCCCACCGAAAAGCAAAAATTAAACGTCGTCAGCCACTCAGCCCTTCTCTCCTCCAGCCCAGGGACCCCTGCAGGCCCCCCGAAGCAGCCCAGTTTTCTGAGCCCTCGGGAGAGGTCTCGGCGGGCGGAGCTGTGCACCAGCAGCCAAGCAGAAAGCAACATGCAAAACGGACTCTGCCATGCAGAGGGCAGAAAGAAAGAAAGGATGCAGCCGAACTTCCTCCCCATCCCATCCCGGCCTTCCTTCCGGGGAAGGAACTTCATCCCCAAACAAGTCAACCAGCACCGTGCTGAGGGGGCCTGTCCCCCACCCTTGTCCTTCCTGGGGGAACCCCACCCTCAGCTGGGGTCAGAGCTCCACTAGGGAGCTCAGAGGACTAGCTTGGAAAGATGGGGGGTGCAGATCCAGAGGGCGCTCCCCTCCAGATCCCACCCAGCCCTCCCTCACTGCCTGTTCTGGAGGGGGTGGGGCAGGGCCGCCTCTGAGTCCCCCTGCCCCACCCTTCGGCTAGCAGCCCCACCCCCTGGACAGGGGGCATCTCCTGGAGCGAGTTTCATGCTCCCAGAATGGAGGGTGTCCCACCACCCTCCCCTGGGCCACAGGGGGATTCCCTGGACCCCAGACCCCTCTGTACAGTAAAGAGTCAGATTGCTCTCCAAGGTCCAGTCCCCGAGGGGGACAGGCCCCCTCTTCCCTCTCTTCACAGGCAGGCCCGGGAGGTCGCCCTTCCGCCATGGCCCCAGTGAGGGGAGACGGGCCCCAAGTCGCCCCCACACCCCAGCCCGCATGCAGGTGCCCTTGTGCCACCCCATCGGTCCCTGCCCCTGCCCCTCACGCAGACAGCCCTGCTGTGG